TTTTGAGATGAAGTTGTTTTTTTGGCGCACACCCCCGTTAATTTTTGATACCCATCAACTTTCCCTGGAAGCGAATGCAAAATTAGCCGAGGCTAGTAGCATAAGATTTTTTCAAGTTTCAGAAAAACGGGGAAAAAAGTGCACATTTATCACACCTCATAACTTTTCTCAGAAAAGTGTGCAAAATTTGCATATAGGTGTGCAAAAATGTCCAAAATTAAATGAAACGAGAAGCATAGGGGTCTATCAATTTTTTTAAAAATGGGAGGTGGTTATGCAAATTTTTGATACGATATAACTTTCCCCAAAAGAGTGTGCAAATTTTGAAAATCGGTGTGCAAAATTATGGGTTATTTATTTTTGAAATTTGTCTATTTGTCGAAAAAACCTTTTCAAAGACGGGGGTAATGCTGACAACCTGCAACCTCTCGACCTGTCATATTTTGACAGCTGTCAAAAATTACATTCGACAGCTGTTGAATATTCCAAATTGTATTATCAGCCGAACTTAAAGTGTATGCAAAATCTGTTGCGAAGAAATGGTTCACAAATCTACATCTGTCACATTTGACAGTTGACATCTGTCATTAGTGGTCTTAAATGTATAATCACCCGAACTTAAAGTGTATGCAAAATTTCAGAAAAATCCGTTGCGAAATAATGGTTCAAAAATCTGCACCTGTCACATTTGACAATAATTTACACCTTTAGTGGTTAAAATTTATTATCACCTAATCACCTGAACTTGAAAAGTATGCTAAATTTCAGCAAAATCCGTTGTGTTTTATACCTCTATTTATTAGTAACAGAAAATTACTACCCACAAAAATACATAACTATTTACCTATTTATTATATTGTTTTTAATTATAATAATATTCCTATTCTATGGTAGGTATATGTATAATAAGTACCTATATAAAACACAGGCATTTAATTTGTTATACAAAAGACAACTTGGCAACGCAGCCTAGCAAATACGCGTGCATTTGGTCCCTCAAATTAATTTAATCGCAGAAACGACGGATTTTACTAGGACACCAGCGCCATCACGCGGGTTTATATTTTTGCTAGCGGACGGGTCTTCTAGAGACGTTAGTCTATAATATTCTTTGGTATAACTCGTCACGTCTGTGACTACTTCTTACTTACTTACTTCAGAACTCATGTTTATTGCAATAATTACAAAGAATTTTTATGCATAATGTCATAACAATAAGTAACTTAAAAATAAACTTAAAAGCTAAACTAACATGGTGGGCACCTTAAGATATTTCAACTTAAAATAAGTAAAATAGAACGGACAAGTTGTCTTGATGAGACTTCCTAAACCTAAACTTAAAGCTAAATGGATGGTCCTGGTCCTTGTCGGGGGCTCCTGGTCCTGGATGGCTTCTGTTGCGGCAGAGTTAGGTGGGGGCTTCCTGCTTCGGACTACCTCCCCAGGCAGGGGAAGCTGTCTCCGGCATTCGGCGTCCTATGTTTGACTAGCTTCCTGCTGCGTGCGTCCCTCTGTCTGAGGGGTACGCTGCAGTAGGCTTGGAAGGCTGGCTTCCTGCTTCGGACTACCTCCGCAGGCTGGGGAAGCTGTCTCCGGCATTCAGCGTCCTATGTATGACTAGCTTCCTGCTGTATGCGTCCCTCCTGGGAGGGGCATGCTGCAGTAGGCTTTTGAGGCTGGCTTCCTGCCTCCGATAGGCTTCCCAGGCTGGGAAGCTGTCTCTTTGGCAGTAGGCGTCCTGTTTGACTTCTCAGGCAGAGAAGTCGGGGGCGGCTTCCCGCTGCGTATGATTCTCAACCCCTACTCAATCCAGGGCTGAGAATGCACGCAGCAGTAGGCCTGTTGTGGCCGGGATGGTTTCAACAAACATTGCAGGCTGCAATGTTTGTTGTTCCTGGCAGTAGTTGTTTGACGAGGGGTTTCAGTGCGCTCGTCAGTTGTTCATGATAGCTCCTGTTCATGTTCTCTATGGCACTAGAGATTTGTCGGAGCGTCCGGGCAGGCTGTCGCTGATTGGTGCCGTCGCGGATCTGGGGCCCGCGCTGGCACTGGTGTTCGTGCCGGCGAAGGGGCCCGCGGTCGGGGCTGTTCTGGCTCTTTCGGCCCAGGAGAAGGGTCTCCGCTGGGCTGGTTGTTTGTGTTTGGGATGGCTTGGGAAGCCTTCCCATGAGGCAGGGTGGGCCCCCTCACAGTTGGCACATTTGGGGGCTTCTTCTGGCGTTTTGGTGCGTCCTGTTTTGTGGTCGCCGGCGCATTTGACACACTTGGAGGCGGCCTTACAATTGAAGGAGGCATGTCCATGTAGTTGACAATTATGGCATTGTCCTGATTGGCTCTTTGTTCTTTGTGCTTCTAAACGGATTGTGATTCCGTTTAATGTAACAATGTTGTCGTAAATGTCCTTTTCGCTTCTGGGCAGCAGCACTAGGACGCACCGCATGGGGCGCCCCTTTTTTGCTCCGGTATTCCAGAACCACCTGGTGACGGCGACTGGGTGGTAGCCCAGGTCTACTAGCTCGGATTTAATGAAATTCGCGGACGTAGATTCCAGAACTCCCTTGAAAACCACATGGAGTAGTTTGTTTTCAGGGAGCTGAAATGTATGATATGGCACTTTAGTAGATTCTAAATGACTCATCGGTTTTTGTCGTTCGTAAACTTGGCGAGCTGGTCGTACTTGGCTTTGTCCCTGAGTACGATTGGGGGCACCTTTTTGGAATCGGGCTGCTGTGTGGCTGTTTCTTCTGTTGTTGTTTCAGGGGCCGGCACCACTCTGGCGATGTTGGTCCGGCCGCTGCGTCCCCTCGGCACAGTGTATTTGCCGGGGGCTTTGGTGTCTCCATTTTTCACTGCTGGTTCCGCAGCTGGCTTCGCTGTTGGTTTCGGCATCTGTTTGGATGGTCCTGGCATGGCCATGGGTTGAGGTGGGGTGGCTGAGCGACGCTCGTTTGGCACGTGCCTGGCGTCGTCGTCGGACAGGACGTCGTGGACGGATCTGGCTCCCTTCGATCGTTTTCTTTGCTTGAGGCTAGAAATTAAAGAGTTTTTAGTGGGGTCTGAGTCTTCTTCAGACCGTTCGGGCTTGCGCTTGAGGCGCCGGCTGGGAACGGTCGAGAAGCCGTCGTCTACGTCAATGATGGATTCTGATTCGGAAATCGTTTCCATGGTTTCGATCGAGCTCCGGGACGCGTTGCTGTCCGCATCCGATTCCCCCTCTTCGTCCGAGTGCTCGGATTCAGAAGAGGACTTGGCGGCGGACGCGGCTTCCCGGAGGGCTCGGTTTTCTTCCATGAGAACTCTCATGGTCTGCGCTTGCTGGTTGGCAAGCGCTCGCAAGGTTTCCATCTCCTTCACCATCTTGACGTAGGCTTCGGCTGCGGTAACTTGGCTGGTCGAGTTTTCCATGGCGTGGCGTAGAACTGGGTTCACTTCACTAGTAGGACGAACTTACTGGCTGCTTGCTGTCGCAAACTAAATTCAGATTCGAGTATTCTCAAGAGTAAACGTGTTCACTGATCGAGAGCTCAAGTCAGAATGAATTTGTGACTACTTCTGTACTGCCCTCGGTTTTTAAGGGAAGGGTTGTGAAGAGTTTTCGCAACACAATCATTAGATAATTTTCACCAAAACCATACAAAAAAACTTTAAATCGGAATGAATACCCACCCGCTGAAGGCCAACGGTATAAGCTTCCTTTATAAATACCGCATAGCCACTTATAGCTTTCGTACCAAGATATTTGCAAAGTTCTTGGATATTGTTTACCCTGCCTCTTATCGTTAAATATTGCCGGAATCGGGAATTTGAAAACCCAACCTTAATTTCTGTATCGGTTAAAAACTCTAAGCCACTCGTTGCCTCATGAAAACTGCTAATTCTACCTTAACTGTAAATAACAAGCAACAGTTTTAAATTTCTGTGTTTAGAAATTCCAAATTTCCAAATTAAAGCAAAACAAAAACATACCATACCCTACAATTATAATTGTGTGTATTGAGCAAAACAATCTGACTCGAAAGCGTTGTGCGTTCGGCCCTATTGATCTTTTTCTTTTTTTTTTAAATGACCTGAATATAAGTTGTAGATAATTACATTCTGATCAACTTTGCCTCATGACTTTTTTCGCTAGCTATTTTAGTTTAGGCGCAGCGACCAAATTTCGGAAAAAATTAAATAGCAAACCTGGAGATTTGTACAGGGTGGGCCAATTTGGACACTTTTAATAGGTTTATTAGGAAACATCAATTTTTGAGCGAGATACAGAAAAGTTAACCCCCCACTCTGAGGCTCAAATTTCATGAAATTTTGATTGGTGCAAACCGCATTTCGATATTTTCAACCGGTTAGCCGCTAGAGGGCGATTCTCGATTTTGAGCAAAATGTGAAACCATCATAACTTTTTTGTTTATGAAAATTATTGATTTCCGTAAAAACTTTCTAGGAGCACTTTTTCAAGCAGGATTCAGTGACGTTCTCAGTTTTTTTCTAGTTGGTCCCAACTCCGAGATATTGACCTAAGTCTGGTTTTTTTCAATAGGACACCCTATATATTAATAGCTCATTAGAAAGCTCTACTTTTTCTGATTTCAATGATATAAAGTTCGATAGGTTTATCTCTAACAGTTTTGGAGAAAAAAATTATTTCGGTTTTTGTCATAAGAAGCAATGTGTAAGAAAAGGACTTTTATTTATATTTATTTACTGGATTAATGTCATTCCGTCTCAAGAAGACACCGTGTGCTGAAACATGTTAGTTTCATTTCTATGAAATTGTGGAAATCCAGAAACTTTTTTGTTTCCTTCCAAAATAAACATGTTGTGCTTATACAATGTCCGAATAGTCGCGCTAGAGAGAGCTGGCCGAGCTCTTTATGTATGCGATCTCGTATCATTATTAACAGTATAATTATTAATTTTAGCTTGCAAATCTCCTGATTGAAAAACTACGAAATTATATAATATGCCAATTTTTACTCTTATCTGTTAATATTCTGTTTTAGAAAACCGACGTTACAGTGGAGCTAGTAGAAGAACTTCAGGTCAAAACCAAAGAATTCCTACAGCCTAACCCTACGGCACGGGCCAAAATGGCCGCCGTGAAAGGGATCAGTAAACTTAGTGGCCAAGCTAAATCGAATACTTACCCCCAACCAGAAGGTGTACTTGGAGACTGCATGTTGTTGTATGGTAGGAGACTAGGAGACGATAGTATGTTTGGTACTGCATTAGTGGAAATGGGCGAGGCACTTAAACAAATGGCCGATGTAAAATATTCCTTGGACGACAACATAAAACAAAACTTTTTGGAACCTTTACATCACTTACAAACAAAAGACTTAAAAGAAGTTATAGTGAGTATAATTTTTTTATTTAAGGGCCGGTTATGCAATCTGATGGATAAAAACGCAATTTTTAATCCCATTGGTCGGCCACTTAGCCGCCGACCAATAGATTTAGAGAACGGTAAACTTATCTCGTACATAGTAACCAGCAAATTTATCTGAAGATGAATAAACCGGGCCTAAGTAAATTATTAGCGGTTCTGATATCAAAGTTAAAGATCCATATTTCAACTCAAAAATTACCAAATGCTTTTGCTCAAATTTGTATCTAGCACTTATTAGGTTTTATTAAGTTTATGCTACTTCAGTTCACTTACCAATAAATATTGGTCCAATTAAATGCAATTTATACGTGAATGAATAGTTTTATCTCTAATTTTATCAGTTTGTTTTCCATGCTTTTTAAATTCTTGTCATTTGCCATTTGTCAATTATTTATTCTTATAAAAAAATTTACTAGTGTACTCTTCTAATATTGATTGTTTTTTTCTAGCATCATCGAAAGAAATTACAGGGTCGCCGACTAGATTTTGACTGCAAACGTAGAAGACAGGCTAAAGGTATGTGCTATATTTTTTAAATTCTATTTTTTATTGAAATGCCACTAATAATGGAAAAAATCGATGAAGCTGTGAATTTTGGTTCGGATATCCTATACGCCGACCGCGCCGCTTCGATTGCTAGGGCTTTGATTAGAGCCTGGATGGTATTTGATGGTTGGGTTATGGGTGGTATTTTCTTCACATTTATGTCTCTAATTCCATTGATTGATGAAATTTTTGGTCGCTAGTTGTTCTCGGATTTCCGATTGCTGCTGTTGCTTCCGGGTAGAGCAAATTAAATAGACAGCGGATATCGATTTCAAATTCTTGTAAACTTTCCACAGCTTTCTGGTGTCTAGTTTTTAGCTGAACCAGGTAAAGCGCCGTCGGTGTTGATCTCAGAATGACACTATAGCGCATCAACAACTACACCCTACTTTTGTTGGAAAGCTGCCGGAAGAGTCTCAAATAGGTCTAAGGCAGAGCCATGCAATGCTACCAGCAAGCGGCTAGCCATGTCATCAGAGCTCCAACTATTAGCCAGTACATTTCCCAAGGTGTCTGACCATCGGGTGGTGATCGTTTAACTTTAATACCCTTAACCTTCGTCTGCCCACGACAAAAAAAAATACGTTTATACTAAATAGTTATAATAGATAAAATCAACCTATAACTAGAGTACAGTTAGCAAAAAAAAAATTGTTAGGAAATGGTATTTTCGACCATTGCGTGCCATCTTTCGATTTATAAATCCTATTTCCGCCTTCTACTTCCCGTGAACTTTCGTTCTCTTCCTGCTCCACAGATATTTCTTGATCAGCTTTATTATCGTGATTTCTAAATTTTGCAGGTTGACTACTTGATAGAGTAGCCACAGATTCTCACGTGGGGTACGTCATTGGGTACATGTGCCCCACGCTATGCAAAAATTAAAGAATGAAGGCTTTCACGGCCGGTCAAATATAGTGGAAAAGTTTTTTCCGGGCCATAATGCCGTGGTCGAGTAGTATTTCTACCTAAAGTTTCATCTACTGCTGCGGTAGACATCATCAGAGGCGGTGAGGAAGAAGACAAAGTGTTCTCTTCCGAGTTCCTCCGATGACTGGATTCGACGTTGTTGGACCTGCGTTATTTATATCCAGGGTTCTGGGCGTGGCTGGTATTACGCTATTTTCCTTGTCTCGTTCTCGGAAAGGAAGGGTCTTTGTTTTTTGGAGAACTGGCAACCAGCTTTTGTTAAGGTTTAGCCCTCTTCTTTTCTATTGAAGTTGTTGTGGTGTTTCTGTATCTCTATGGCTTCTCTGTGGAGTCTGGTGTAAAAATGTTTGGTTCTATCCAATGCTTGAGTCTGGTCGAAACGAATGACATGGTTTGTTTGCGTTAGTACGTGTTCGGCGATTGCTGATCAATATTTTTGTCCCAGCTGACAGTTTCTTTTATGCTCTTTGACCCTGATGTTGATAGAGCGTTTGGTTGTTCCTACATAGACAGATCCACAAGAGCAGGAAATTCTATAGACGCCAGCCGTTTCAAGAGGTGCCCTAGGATCCTTGGCCGATCTTAGACTTTGCTGAATAGGGTGGTGGACAAGGTATAATTTCAATGAAATCGATGATCTATTGTTCATCTATGGAGTAAATGAAAAATATTCCTATTGAAAGAAATTTCAGAAAAAATTGCTAACTTGGTTTAAAACGATTGTAAAAGTGGAATTTTGGGACGCACTATTTAAACCAAAATATTTCGCGCCTTGATTCTACGTCATAGCTGTTGTATTTGAGTATGAAATGAATTAAACCTTCGTCCTATATTCGACACACACTTACTCATTAGTGCAAAAAAGAGAGATATATCAGCGTCTGTCGGGGCGCACCCTCAACTTAACCTCACTTTTTGAGAGATTTTCATTTGTCAATCAATGCGCACTGAGCTTATCTGCATCTTTTTCTAGAAGCATGTAAAATATAAGGACGCACTGACCGCGCTCTCGCCCACTCTTATTAATGTCGGAATGCCTTAGACATAACAGCTGTGACGTAATTTCCGGGCGGTAAATTATAGCGTTTAAAATAAGTATAAATTTGTTTATTTTTTTTCAGGTATATTTTTGTTTTCTAAAATCAAAGAATCATCAACTACTATTTATTTTGTTATGGAGATTATTAAAAAAAATATTTCAAAAAATTGTCCACTACCCTATTGTTCTTGTGGGCTTTTAGATAGGCTCAATGTTGTGTCTTTCTAGCGTTCGTCCTATGCGATCTGTGATATTTTTGATGTAGGGAAGAAAGGTTCTGCCTGCCACCAGTGCTGGTTCCTTGTTATTTGTGGGCTGTTGCTTCGGTATTATAGCTCTATTTATCTCCTGCTTGGAGTACCCATTTCCTTCAAGTGCAGATTTTAGTTGTTACATCTCGTCCTGAAGGTATCTGGCTTCACAAATCCGGGTTGCCCTGTCAGATAGAGTTTCAATGACTCCTCTCTTTTGCCTAGGATGGTGATTGGATTCCTTGTTGAGGTATCTGTCCATATGCGTCGGCTTCCTATATACTCTGTGTCCCAGTTTATCTGAGGGACGTCGAGGAATGCAATTTTTTTGTCCTTCTCAACTTCCATCGTAAACTGTATCCTGGGTTCTATTGAGTTTAGATGATTAAGGAAGTTTTCGAGCTCTGCCTCTCCATGGTTCCAAACAACAAATGTATCATCTACATAGCATAGGACGAACGCTAGAAAGACACAACATTAAGCCTATCTACAAGCCCACAAGAAGAATTCAGCAAAGTCTGAGATCGGCCAAGGATCCTAGGGCACCTCTTGAAACGGCTGGCGTCTATAGAATTCCCTGCTCTTGTGGATTTGTCTATGTAGGAACAACCAAACGCTCTATCAACACCAGGGTCAAAGAGCATAAAAGAAACTGTCAGCTGGGACAAATAGATAGATCAGCAATCGCCGAACACGTGCTTACGCAAACAAACCATCACATTCGTTTCGACCAGACTCAAGCATTGGATAGAACCAAACATTTTTACACCAGACTCCACAGAGAAGCCATAGAGGTACAGAAATACCACAATAACTTCAACAGAAAAGAAGAGGGCATGAACCTTAACAAAAGCTGGTTGCCAGTTCTCCAAAAAACAAAGACCCTTCCTTTCCGAGAACCAGACAAGGAAAATAGCGTAATACAAGCCACGCCCACAACCCTGGATATAAATAACGCAGGTCCAACAACGTCGAATCCAGTCATCGGAGGAACACGGAAGAGAACACTTCGTCCTCTACCACACCGCCTCTGAAGATGTCTACCGCAGCAGTAGACGAAACGTTAGGTAGAAATACTACTCGACCACGGCATTATAGCACAGAAAAAACTTTATGCAAAAATTATTATTTCTAAAAAATAAATAAATAAAAAATGTTTGATGATCACTAATTATTTGCAAAGCCTTTACTGACACAAAATAAAATTAGTCGGAAAAAATATGCTAGAAAAATTGTTTTCTGGGGTACATTTGTACCCCACCCGGGAAGACGAAGGTTAATCAAGAATATGATATTTGGGTCCCAAAACACCTAAATCGATAAAAAAAAAGATGTCACGATAACTTGAGAACGCCTTAACGGATTTTAACCAAATTTGCCACAAAAATCCTATTATATAGGTTGGTCCAAAAAAAAAAACGGAATTATGTTCTTGAGCTGTAACTTTTTTTTTGTTGACCAATTTCCCTTTGTTTTGGCTTGTTCGTAAGAGAATTGAACAAGCTAACGAATTAAAGTGAAACTTTTGAAATTCGAGGAAAAATCAAAATGGAGGACTTCTTCAAAAATTACCTAGATTTGGATATAAAAAGGTGAAATTTGATCTTACAAAAATTCCAATATTTCACTTAGTTTTCAACCGATTTTTCTTGCCGAGGTCTTTAAATGTTCGTTAACTGCTATTTATACAACATTTCAATGTATGGTGGACTATTCTTCTCTTTCGAGCAGCAATTTTTTAATTTTGTTCTGAACACTATCCATTTAATAACGAAAAGATCCAACTACCTGACAGACAGTAACAACTTACTGAAGAACACTCTCAACTTCTTCAAGTATTATTCTTCCACTCTATTATTGAATTTATCATCTTGTCCTTTGAGGCTAATTTTGAATTCAATTTGATCCTCGAATAGAAATAGTACCGTTCTCTTCTTTTTTTTTTTGTATTCGATCTTCTTTTTGTATATGTACCTACTGCAAATCCCAAGAAAGAAATTAGGAACTTCTTTACATTCGTCAGCGTGCCTTTTTCTGGAATTCTATTCTATTCGATCCGA